TTGCTTCATCATATTTATTTACTCGACACTGGAGTATTATCACGTCATCTGGATCAGCTTCTCTGCGGTTTGACTTTTCAACTCCATGAATTCCGATCATTAAAAATTAAGTTTACAGATATAATTATAAAAGCAATAATAACTATCAATAAGTTTGATTGATATCTTTAAACTAAATTTTGTTCATAAATATCTCTTATCAATAATGTCATTATAATTTTTTTTAATAATTAGTTTAAAAAATCATGTACAGTTGGATTTAAAACTGCATGATGGATCCATCCGGACCATGTCATCTTTAACGACGTTTATGCACATAATTTATTTTCATTTTTAATTTAGGCATTCAGTTATGCATCTATAAAAAATAATACTAAATAAATTCTAGAAATAACTATAAATATGTTTATTTTTATTAATATCAATTATTATTGACTATTATTATTATTATTATTATTTAATAAATATATATATTGACGGACCTTAAACAATCAGCACGGTGTGCTTCTATGAGCACCTAATGCTTAAAACTAAGAAGAAGAAGAAGAAAAAATAGAAGTGCAACAGTGAAACTCTTAATGAGAAAAGGTGGATAAGCACCCCGCGCTGCAGTTCCAGGAACTAGGAACTGAACTTTGTCCACAGTGACTTAATCAAGTTGTATCACTATCATAGGTAGGTTAAATACAGACAAACGACAAACATACATTGATTTATTTGAGGAAAATTATGTAACACCATCATACAGGAAGCTTTCATAAGGAACAAAAATTTGGACACCTAAAAAATTGTTCATATCTCGAAAGAAATAAAACAATTATAAAAAAAAGTAATTAATATTATTGTGACACTTTCTGTTAAATCTGAACCTATCCATGTTCAAACTTAAAATATTTGATTTGATTAGGTATAAGTACATGTATAAATAATATTCGATTAAATATATATCTACTTGTCCCGTGTTTGTTTTAGTCTTCATCCTTACTTTAAAGTTTTAGATATTTTTTTTAGAACTTACTTAAGATTTATGGGTGAGTTCGGATATAATAGATACTCAACAAAAATGGAGATAAGACAAATTTCATATATGTCAAATATCAAATGCGGGAATAGGTATATGATACAAATTTGGAGACGGGGATGGGAAAATTGAAATATACACTCGTTTCGTCCCATCATCATTCCTATTTTTATTCCTAAGTATAATAAATAAAATAAAAAACAATTAAATTAAAAGACATTATAAAATACTTAAACTTATCTCTTCTAGTAAAAGGGTTTATAATACTTTAAATATAATCTCTTTAATCTTTAATACAAAGATAACCAAATGGTAACATAAGTTCAAAATAAGATACAGACCACCTTTATGCACAACCTCCAATATAAAACAAAATGTTATAAAATAAACTCAACTCTAACTACAATTATAAAATCATAACTTCCACTCGGATATCATATTATCAGAGTAAAGGCTCGAAACAACTAATTAATGAAGCACTAGGCTTCGCCTTCTCCTCTTGTACTTGGTCTACTCCTCCAATAGCAATCAACTCAAATAAACACATCAACAAACACAAGAAGTAAGTTATACATTAAAAAGACATATGTCATAACTAAACATCATGCATACATTTAAATTCATATCTAACATCCAAGGCACACTTTTCTCAAAAACACCATTCATCATCAACAACAACCCTTCATGTAATCCAATCAATCTCAATTATAATTAAAGACCCTGCAAATACATGCTCTTAACTTTACATGCATGTGGTACCAATCTCATCATCATCATTACACAAGACAACCTAGGAGCCATGGACCAGATCACCACACATTTGGTGGCTTTCTCAATCCACTCTCAACCAAGAGATATCTACCAGGATCCAATCGAAGCACTATAATTTAGCCATCTAAAATGGATTAGAAGCTTAACCATCAAGATATTATAAAATAATTCTACAAAATTCTAGGATGCTCTATTAAATTCTACAAAAATGGACACTTGACCACCACATGATTAAAATGAATCGAAAGCTTAACCATTAAAATAACTAAAAAAATTCTAAAAATTCTAAAAAGTGGACACCCCATCAGCATGTGATTAAATAGATTGGAAGCTTACCATTAAGATACTTAAACAATTCAACAAAATTCTAGAACATGGACACCTAATCACCTTGTGATTAAAATGGCTTAAGAAATATCAAGAAATATCTTTTAATATAGAAGATTTGAGAATGGAGGTGGAGACTAGTCTAAAAGGAAAAACCACACCAAAATTTCACCAACAATCCCTTAACACTAAGACATAAACCAAGCTAAGAAAACACCAAATTAAAAATACCCCATCTTTGCCATAATCAACAAGGAAAACCAAGGAGTAAACAACTATAGTTTCAAGAAGAGAGGAAGAAAGGAAGAAGTAAGAAAAGAAGAAATCAAGGGAATTAGGAGAAAACTAGCAAGCTTGGAGAAATAGATATGGGCTAGACGTTTAACTTTGTTCATGTTTTTGCTTTTAGAATAAGTGTACAGTAAGTCTTGATCATTACTTCTAAGTTTGGATGCATGAAACCTTGGGTTAGATGATATGGTTTATGATTATACTTATTGATAAATTTGATATTTTAAGGTTGAATCTTGAAGTGGTTGATTGTTTATGATTAGATGTTACTGTGAAAATTGTTGGAATTGCATTTGAAAAGTTTGATTGAGAATGATTTTTGAAGTGATAGATTAATAGTAATGTATATTACATATTGGATAATGTGGTTTTTTAGTCAAAAGAATTTTGGGGGGAAAAGAAAAGACTTTGTGATAAAGTTTGAAAATATTTTTATTTTGCTATCAAGGATGATTGACGGTAAAAGAAATGAGAAACAAAATTTTTGATAATGAGCCATTTATGAATGATTTGATGCATACACATGATGAAATCACTTTAATGAGTCAAGTGAGACCGCTTGTTTAGAATCTTGACGATATCTTTAAAAAACTCATAAATACGAGACACACATGGGTATATTGGCTCACAATTCGATGATGACAAAAAATATAAAATTGTAATGTAATTAGTAGACCTCTAACATACACTAAATTTCTTAGGTTTATATAACTTGCAACAAGATTTTTATTGTGTTATGTCTTATTATTCCAAGTCTGGTTCATATAGTTTATTATGCCAAGTACATTTTTTTAAATCACTTAAACCCTAAATCCTAAATCCTAAACATATTAAAAAAAATGTGATTATTAATTTGCATTTAAAGACTTGACTATTTACTCACTAACCAAGTATCAAAATATGACACTAAAACTAACAAGTCACTGATCCAAATGGTATTAGATTTGACCCCTTAAAGAAAATTTCGAATTCAAGCCTCATGAAAGGAAAAAAATGTTATTAGAAAAAAAGACTTTGCTAATAATAATAGTGATGAACCAAATTTTTCAACCAATATAAATCATTAAAAAAGCCAGAAAAAATAAAGTGTAAGGCATCAGTCGTGAACATAACCAAAAGAACAGCAGAACAAAGTTACTAAGATTCTAGCTTTGAGGTCTTCAAATAAACTTCAATTTATTTGATCGGAAATGCTCCCAAGGTTAGGTGCTGATTCCTCATATGCGTGCACTGTCCTGCTGTTTAAGTGGTTTAAGCACAAAAAGTTAAAATTATATGTAGCTGCAAGGAGTCAAACCCACGACCCTTGATTCTTAAGTTACATCTCACTCTCACCCCTAGAATATTGTTGTCGGTTTAAAGTGCCAAACAAATAATATATATATATATATATAT